TCGGTATCCTTTAATCGTGAATCCACATAGTTAACTCATTCTTCATAGACTTCACCTAAAACTCGTTCGCATCCCGTCGAAAGCAGTGCCCTCCAGACGCCGCTCCGCAAGGAGGAGAGGAAGAAGCAGCTGCAGTACGGCCTGTATGCATTCGGGGCCCCGGCGTGCCTGGTCGCGATAGCGAGCGTTCAGCTCTTCGCTGGAGGCAGCGTTCCCCTCAAAGCCGATTCGGATCTGGTTTTCTTGGCAAAGGCGCCGGTATGCTTTCTCCTCGGTGCGCGTCCGTCCTCAGGGTCCTAGAGGACATTCCTACGGTCTTCGATGGAATCAATGCACGTCGTTTCTTTGTCATTTCGATGACACGTTCTTCTTTTTCTCTACGACTCTAGGTCCTTCTGGTGGCATTTGGTACAGTCTGGCGCCAGCGTTCTTCATCCTGGTGGCTAATGCGATACTCTTCCGCCATTTGTGGTGTTATATGATTAAGCTAGGCAAAGACAACCTTTTCCCAGCCAGAAGTCAGGAACAAAAACAAAGGTGAGTTTCATCAACCGTGTTATGAGACCAAACCTTTTCCCCAGGAGACTTACCTTACGATCACGCGTATCGAGATGATAAGAGGTAGTGCTTCCAGACCTTTTTTTCTAGGCTTGATCCGAGGAAGAATCGGACTCCTTCATAATTGGGCTAAACCTCAGAGCCGATGCATCGATTCAGAGCTCTTCTAAGGAATTCGGTTATTTAGCCTCGCCTTGCTAGGGTGTACTTGCTGAGGTGCTGCGATTCGAATGCTGCAAAAACAGGGCCATTTTCGGGTCAAGTTATCATTTAAGTGCCCATAAATTTTGTTATAATTAATGTAGAAATAAAATTTTGGAATCATGTTAAAGGTCTTTTGCGCCTTAAAAAAATGTGATTCATGGAGTTTCAATGAAAACTAAGGTCAAGTGTCAAAGTGACAAACCGTTGACCTTTAATTGCAAAAAAATGTATTTTTTACTTTAAAAATAAATTAAAATAGCACTACCAATTTCTTCTCCATAAGTACTTAATATTTCAATTTGTGACTACCCGGAAATCAGGAGATATGGACCATAATGTGGCATTAAGTGAGTGAAAATCCTGAATGTACTAGAAAATTCGGGATTCATCCAGCTTGAGGAAAGTTGCAGGCCGATACACTTCGCTTGAAGCAGTCAGAACTCCCGCCCCACCGTCAAATCTCCCGAACTGGAAGGAAGTACATTACGATAGGTCGACGGCGGGGAGACGGAGTTCGAGGCGCCCGTGAATAGGACTATCGGTTTCAGAGAATGAGATCTTCTGTGGCTCCAACTTGTTCGACTGCTCTCCCTTTCGAATGCCTCCATTCTGCTATCTCATTGCAGGTTCTGGTCGTACTTGAAGTTGTTCGCGGTGATGGCAGGGACCTGGCTGGCGAGCGCGGTCGGCTACTTCACCCGAAACAAATCGGATGCCTACTACGACGGGGTCCTCTCCGGCGTCGAGGGGTTCCTCGTCTTCCTCGTCCTCCTGTGCGAGCAGAAGGAGGTTAAGAAGGAGGTTGCGGGGGTGCTCGAGTGGTTTCGCCGCGGGTGTCGAACGTCGCGGGACCGGCCGAAAGAGACTGTCGCGTCGACAGGTCTCGCTGAAACGGTCGCGGGTCTCGTTCGTCCGGACTGTTGACGACGGGGATGCCCGGAATCTCGGAAAAGTGACGCTCTCGGTAGAAGGACAAAATCCATTTCTGGGACCGATTACGCCTCACGGAATAGATGGAGAAGCATCGAGAGATTCGCCTTGTCACATTTTTCATTTCCATTGTCGACGGCAAGGATTTTCCCATTTATGGTTTAGGAAACTTAGCTGATGAAAAATCGGTGCTGCAAAAAACCATTGCAATTCGATAATGGTGTTCCTTCCGTTGAAATCCAAACGAATCCTTCAGATATACAGGGTGAGTCAAAATTTTGGACACATAGGGAACTGAGCTCAATATGTATTTATCGTACGAAATGTTACAATGCGTTCTCTCCTCATACTGATGTACTCCCGTACATCAGTACGAGTTCAATCCTATCTGGATTAAACCCTGACGACACGTTCTACCCCTCTATCGGACCCCGACCAACTACAATCTTCGCCACGACTTGACAAAACTCCTGTGCGAAATTAAATGTCGCAAGAAAACGTTCTTATGACTCTACTGCTCCCAGTGTGACCTATCCTGTATCAGTTCCCCATTTTTGCCATTCTTACCTTTTACAGTTTTTATTAACTTTTTTTTCCGTTTTGGTGCTCTCTCTGTGACCATAACAAATTCACACTTTCATCTGTTTTATTTTTACTTCTCCCTATCCTGACCCATTTTTGCTTTTGTATTTGTACATGTATGCCTGACGCGGGAGATCAATTTGCTTTTGCACTACCCCTCCCATTTGAAACAAACCCTTCATCATAACCTTCATCTGCCAATGACAGGCTCATGGCTCAATCCTCAAAACTCTGAGAAAGAAAAAAAAACACACACACACATTAGCCCTGTGTGTCCAGACTTTTGACTCACCCTGTATGTGTTTCATTGAATGCACCGCGAAGGCGCCAGAAGCGACGACCCTCCACGCCGAGCCCAAGATCGGCCACGATCGCCGAAGCACAGAGGAAAATTCCTCCTGGAATTAGCGACGAGAAGTTGCAGACGAGGAGAGAAAAAATGCTCCAAGTTCCTGCTGGAACGTTGAAATCGACCTTTGGTCCTTAAGTTACGGAATCACTGAGAAACCCGCTATTTTATATTCAATCTAGCTCTTCCTTCAAACAAAAGAAGCCTTCATTCCCTATCCTCTCCCTTTGTTTAAGGAAAGAAGTGAATGGAGGATGAGGAAACAACGTGGGCCTGACCAATCATGTGGGTATGCACGAGGATACCTTAAAACTTAAGGCAATCACGTGATTCGTGTGGAAAGAAGTGATGCACTGAAAAGATTATATTTGCTGAGGACGAAAAATAGCCAAAGTCGCGAGATGCAGTTCATGGCAATTTATTTTAATATATATTGCATAAAGGGTTATTTCTTTTATAATTAATTCATTTATTAGCATGGCTGTTTAGTTAGTGGCAATTCTCATGCGATACACGCAAAGGGATATCCCCCCCCACAGCGCAGTTTCTCTGTTTAATGGCACAGGCAATCTCAGGCGCTCATCGGCCTTGAAAGGGTCCACAAAAGAAAAAAAAAAACGGGGAAAGCCCCAGGAGTGGGCTTTGACCTCTGATCCCAAAAGACAGATTACGCTCTAGAGGAGGGGTAGAGGGGTCTCCCCATATATCCTCGCGATGAGCCGTCGGTGTGGCGGGTCGGTCGAGCTCCCTCTCTATACAAATGAAGATAGGCGTAATTTTGCCTGGAGAAGAAAGTTCATCCGGGATCTGAAGATGCGATATACGAAGATGCGATGATACCTCTGGTTTTAGTCAATCTGAGATAAATAAATAATAATTTGGAGAGGATTCTTCCTCGACTTTTGTAATCAGAAGTACGATGGAAAAGTACTACCCCTATTGGTCCTTTTGGTTCCAATGGGATTTTTTAAACAAAAGTCTCATGGAATTTCTTAAAGGATTCAATAGGATTATTATAAGAATACGTTAGATTTTTACGTATCAAAATGCTTATAGGATCCTATAGGGCTTTTTTTTTCGTACGGGTACTGACATGAGGAAAACTTCCATGACATGGACGCAATTCAAAATTCGCGGGAATTTTAACGACATGCGGGAGTTCTGTCACATCTGATCAGCAGAGCACTGAAAGACAAATTTCGAGCCACTCGGCCGGATTAGTTGGGCGGTTCGCTTTTCTCTGTTGTCAAATACTTCCGCGAATGGAGAACCGATTTCGCCGTGGGATTCGACCTGGACAGATGAGATTAAGTGAGATTACGGGTACAGCATCCCGTTTGAAGAGGGATTAAGGTCGATTCCATGAGAAATGACGTTTTAAATTTCCGACTGAGTTTTTTTTCTCTCTTACTTTTAAGTTTATATGCTGTTGATGAAAAAAAGGGCGGCCTTGCCCCTTGCCCTTTGCACCTTGAAAAGGGATGAAAAATCGCCTCATCAGGGAAGACGTACGTAGTTGATCACGTTGTCCGAGTCCCTACTCACCCGTGCACCCTTCCTACAGTCTGGTTTCACGTTTGCTTCTCGTCCTCGTGTGGTGCAGGTCAAGTGAATCGTGTCGGAAGGTGATAGGTGGTGTGTCCTCATGGGAGGAGCCATTCGAGCGGAGTGGAAGAGAGAAATTTCTAAGAGACACCGTGGATGATGGGGGATGGGATCTTGCACCGCGCGACAACTCTTCTCTCCCTTTTCCTCGTTCTATTACCAGGAGGATGGTTGAGAGGAAAATCATCGGAGCTCGAGGGAGGGAAGGAGTGCTGCCCCGGCCGAGGAAGGTTCGACCCGGACAAGGGTGCCATCCGATGCCTCGATGGAAGCGAGATGGAAATTTCCCCATTCCCAGACTGCAGGTCGAAGGTGACGCTCGTGCCATCCACCCAAGCCTCCCCTGATCTGTGGACCGTTCCTCACTGCCACGGTGAATTCCTCATCGGTGACGAGGAGAATGCGACAGCCCTCGACGCTTTCCTTCTCTGTCCCTCTGACAGCGAGGGAGAAGAGAAACCGAGAATTCTCGTCCAGAAATGTTGTCCCTTCGACAAAGGCTTCGATGTGACCTTCGAAGAATGCATTCCCCGTCCCCACAACTGGAGTCCATCGGTCTTCGATCCAAAGACGAACGAGTTTCGCAAATTGCCACGAGATGAATACGAGCTCCGCATCGACGATCTCTCTTCCATTCCTTGTGCAAAACTCTTCTTTTTTCTCGAACCGGGATTTAGCCATTCGCCGGGGTTCCCCGTGGTCCTGGACACCGGACGCCTCCACGTACCAGCCTTGAATTCCACGTATTCCAATCACGAGTTCTGCGTGGAAAATGGGCGTTGGCAGGGTACCTTCTGGACAAATTTTGCTCGGATCTGTCATCCCACTGAGAAGAAGATACGAGAATGCGAGGGGAAGTTGTGCGTCCAGAAATGCTGTCCCGAGTCCGAATTCTTATTAGATCTGGTTGGATATTTGCCTCAATGCAGACCGGCTGAAAAGTTCTGGGATCCCAGGAAATATTTTCTACCCAGTTCCCAATCAGAGCAAGACATCCATGTTATCACGGGCTCTCCCATATGTACCTTTCTTTCTTCCTTGGTTCTGAAATTGCTGCCAGAGTCTAGTCGGGATCCCAGCCATAATTTCTCTTTGTCTCGGACGGGGGACTTGGCAATCCATCTTTTCCATAATCACTCGGCCCACTTACCCGACCCTTTCCACCTCGCAGTCCCTGAATATTGCGTCGACGACACGAGGAACAGCAACGGGACGGTCGAACCCATCGCTCTTGTCTGCGTCCCGAGATTAAGAGTCAGGGATCTGGTGCCTTTCGCCATCGCATTCTTCGTCTCGGTGGCAGTCGCGATGCAGTCCCTCACCTTCATCCTCCTCCTCCTCGAACGGAAGAGCCTTCCGGGGAAGATCCGCCTCGTCTACGTCGGCTGCATGCTGCTTTCCTTCGTTTCCGAAGGCGTCCGCTTGGACGTCTTCAACTTCGGCGTCTCCAATCCCCTCTGCCTCGTTGCCAGTATGCATCTTCGAGATCCTCGACACGTCGTCGACCAATGCTCCAATGATAAAAGTCGTTCATTGGCACTTTCACAGCCTTCGTTGGCGGTTTCGTGTTTCAGTCAGCATTCTTCTGGCTTAGCGTCATGGGCTTTGACCTCTGGAGGAATCTCAGGTGAGTCATAGTTATCTGTTCGAAGGAATTGCAAATCGAAGGAATTGTAAAATGCTTACAACGAGAGAAATGTCAAATAGTGTTATGAGCAAAATGGCATTTTATTCGCTGAAAATTCTGTGCTGATTTGGATTCATCACAGGCTTGACTGGAACATTTTCCTTAAAAGAGCTTGAACGCAGGAAATTGCTCCTGTGGGACTTCACATCTTTACAAAGAAATTTTTTTTTTAACCCATTCCAGTATTGGTTTAATCGGGCGAGAGGGATTGCAAAGCCAGATCTCGGTTCTGCAAATGAAGGTTCCTTTAAGCCATCTCAAAAATGTCAGGAAAGAGTTAATTTATATACTCACTGCTAAAGAAAAAAACAGCATGACTAAAGGGGTTGAACGAACTTGCTTAAAATTGGTACACGGACTAGTACCATGGAATCGATTAGAGTTGCACGATTGTTAAATAAAAATTCGCGGAGAACACTTGCAAAAAATCCCAACTTCTAAAAAGGGATTGTGGTTGCCTCTGGCGCGTTCTTCTTGTGATATATACTTGATACTAGTGCCTAATTCACGTTCTCCTCAAGGTCATTCTTTAGAATGACAACTTCGAATTTTACGCCTGTCTTTTTTTTGCAAATTCGAACTTGCCTTTCACAATTTCCTTGTCAGTGCATCTCTTCGCATAAATTATATACTTAACTACTTTCTTAATACTTACTTAACTTTCTAACTTCTTACTTAGAATTATATACTTCATAGATACGCCTTCTGCAAGCCTAACTCCTCTTCGAGCAATATTCAAACGGCATGCTGAAAGATGGGGGGAGACTCATCACGCCATAATTCGAGGATCAATAATCACTTCACTTATGCGTGCATGAATATCCACTTTGCCCACTGGCGCTGTGAATGATCAGTGGAATCTCTCTCTGGTCTCTTTTTCTCCTGCCTCAGTGCCCTGCAGACGCCGCTTCGCGAGGAGGAGCGGAAGAGGCTGTGCCACTACAGTCTCTATGGATTTGGGGTCCCGGCGTGCCTGGTCGCGATAGCGTGCGCCATGCACTTCAGCACGGGCAGTCCCCCTGCCAACATCCTCGAAGCAATCAGCCACCAGATACAGATGCAGACAGGAATCTGTCCCGTTCTCGGTCCGTCATCTGGGTCTAAAAGGATCCATCTGCACGATCTCTTGCGCCGTTTCGACGATAAACCTTTCCCTCGTGTGCATCTTTATAGAACCTCCTGGCAAAGTTGCGTATACGGAGATGCCGGTGGTCTTCGTCTTAGTGGGTAACGCGATTTTCTTCGGCCTCACTTGTCGTTACTTGATCCAGCACGCCAAAGACACCGCTCGCCTGAACCGAAGCACGGAAGATAAACAAACGTGAGTTTAAGCAGTCATGCTTCAAGGTCTGACAGGTTTTAATGCCTTTTTTTCCATCACAATCGATAGTGTTCTTTAAATGTAGTGCTGTGATGCGCCGATTTTCCAGATTTAGCCTGGAGCGAAAAAGCAATCAGTAGCATTGCAAGGATAATTTCCTGCTTGTACCAATACCTCAGGTGAATCCGGGTGGATCGTCACCGTCTAGTTGCTGAGATGCACACTAAGTTTACCTTCTGCCTTTCGTCATTGCAAACGTGTTTAACCCAGTATCAGTAAAGGTTTTTTTTTGTAACGGGAGTTCAAGTTCAATTGACTCCACAAGTTTCTATTTTCACCACGGGTTTCGTCGAAATGTATTCGTATTTGCACAGATAATCAAGTTTCACACATGAAGAGAAAGACTCATAAAACAGAAAGCGATATTTGAATGCGCACTGGTGACCGAAAAATATGCGGCGTGTCCATCTTCATCTGAACAAGGGTGAATGTGGACCCCGTATATTCAGAATTTAGAATTACAAAAAACTTCAAATTGCACAATTCGTCATGGATAGATTATTTCAGAATCACATCATTCCAAGTGAAGCGATATCCCACCATCACGGATTTATGTGGAATGTGTTTACAGGCAAAATCGAAAATCTTCAGCGCACAGAAATTACGAATTTTTGCTCTGCGGGGGAAAAAAAAGTACTCCCAGACTTCAGGTACGAACAACCTCGCTCTACATCGTGGATCTGCTGATATATTCTATTATTTCCATTGTTTTCCTTATACTTTTACTTTCATGAACACCTACATCAATCGAAAAATTCATATTTTCACGGCATTAAAAATGTACGGCACTTAGATAGGCCCGCGACTCATCAGGTCGGAGATTGGCAATGCCCCTTGTTGCAGAAATAAAAGTTTCTGATCTGGCTTTCTCGTGGTATTTTCGAGCTTTTCGTCAAAAATCAAACAGTGAGCTACATCGACCTATTTCCGGCAACAATATTTTCCACATATGGAAAATAGTGACAGATGGTATATCAAGGCATGTGCATTTTTTTTAGTATTTCCTGCTCGTCTCTTATTACAGGTTTTGGTTGTACCTCAAGTTGTTTGTGGTGATGGGGGGGATGTGGCTGGCGAGTGTGATCAGCCGCTTCACCCGGACCTTTGAGGGCCTTCTGTTCAGTTCCATCCTCATAGGGCTCCAAGGAGTCCTCATCTTCCTCATCTTCGTGTTTAAGGGCCTCGCGAAGGACGCGAAGAAGAAGATAGGAGAATGGCTTGCAAGGATTCGCGGCCGGGACGCGAGTCGCGACTTGGGAGGACCTCAAGGACTTCCACAGCAGGTTCGGATGTCACCGATTCGAGGGAAAGAGAAATGAGATAGACGTCACTTTTTGTTGCGGAGAAGAATCTCTTCCACGATAGGAAAGTGATGCTCTTTCATGGTCGCATAAATCCACATTGGGGAAGGTCACGTCTCGTATGACTGACTTGCCCTAGCCTTCTTTAGTTTCTAAATCCAAGATTGTACGTATGCATTCAGGTAAATAAACAAATTTATATTCCATTGAGTTCTATATAATTAATCGTTTCAGGCCTTCCAGTTTTCTCGCGAAAAATCATGAAATCGTCCAAAGAGTCGAAAAGGAGACTCCATGAATCTTGTTTAGATGGAAGACCTTCGGGATCTTCAGTACCTTCGAGATGAAATCAGTAAAAAAAAAATTAATATTAAAAACAAAAATGAAATTAAAATGGTAGGTGAAAAGTGACTGCTGCCCATCAGACCCCTTCAGCGCCATCCAAAATTAAGAAAAACTCGCCCTCCCCTATCCAATAGCACTCTTTTAAAACACATACTCATAAAAATCTGTTAAAGGGCCAACATTTCCCAAACTGCTTCAATTGCAATTGAGATGATGGAGCACAGACCTTTACTACACTGACAGCAAGGTGTAATGATCAACATATAAATGTTGTAACTGGACAATGCATGAATCCTTTTGAAAATAAAAGGGGAAAAAAAATAACCTCGTGTATGTCTAATATCAAGAGTTTCTCTTATTTTTGCGTGAATTTACGAATCTTAATTTCTACCCGCAAATTAAAAAAAAAATCCCCGATATAAAGGGTGGGGCAAAAAAAGTTGCAAAAAAGTTTTGGTTCACCCTGCAGAGTATTTTTTTTCGGGAGGGGGGGAGGGAGTGTGCTGGCTTATTCTCGGAATTGTTCAATGAAATGAAATGGCCCAATGAAAAAAATAGCGAAAGGAAGGATTTAGTAGTGGAGTGGCGATCGCAATGCTACCAAATTTTCATGTGGAGGGCCTTAAAAGTGGACAATTTACGTTAACTTAGGCCGAAAGCAGGTGGAAAAGAATAATTTCGAGCGACCGATTAGGCTAAGGCAAAGGGTCCGGCCTCGCTCCACAGACAGAACAAGCCGTCTAAAGAGACGACTGACGAATGAAATACGGTGTTCAAAGACAAGAAACAACAAATGTTTACTTAAGTTAGAAGAATATTAGAAATATCAAAGTTAATCTGACGATGAGGACTTGATTGTAGGGGAGGAGGTGGCGATGAGGGCTTCAACGTTAAGAATACGAGCAGGCATGGATCCCGACAGAGACGATGATTATCCTTCCTTGAAAGGCGGGAACTCCCACAAAAGACAACGACGGTCTCACTTGTTCAGCCACGCCAGAGACTCTCTCCCCTAGGCGAAAAAGTCACATGACAGGCACACGGGTGCAAGACGTCGGACTCTGATGAAAGACGTGGCACATACACGCTCCTGACTGCTTGGAACTGACTCACTCGGCCGGAAGACAACGGCGTAAGACGGAACGCGTGACCGGAAGTAGGAGAACGCTCCCCCAAACACAATAGAGGGTTCTTCGGGCACATCCCTGGCAAGGGCATAGTCCATGCAGCACCGCGGACATGACGACCCCGCGGAAGCTCCGGGGCTCTAATCTTAGCATATTCGATTTTTAATATCCACCTCACGACACAATCACCTATCATAACCTTTGGTATCCATCGACACGAACACCATTTGCTGCGACTGCGTCACTCAATCGGTGCGTCCGTCATTCAGCATCTCGACTTGGTATGGCATCCGGCATATTCAAGTAGAGATGCCGATGCAGGAATTCTCTCTTTCTCTCTAAACTGCTGGATTGCATCGGACGAAATATTCCAGGCTCATTTCCCCATCCACCCGGAAACGACGACGAGGGAGAAGAGTGACAGGGACGGCATCACTTTTCAATTGTCACTTCGTCGGAAGGGAAGGGCGATATGCGCTCGAGAAGCTCGGATCGAGAGCCTCGAGGATCCAAATGCATGATTTGAGGAAAGCCTATTTTTTCTTTCTAAAAGACGTTTGATTTTCTTTTGTGTTCATCGCTTCGTCACGGGGTCACTGCCATGAGTCAACAGCGAATTTTTTGCTTGGCATTCTGCATAGGGTGATGAAGGTCTCCCGTTTCGATTATATCGACACGATCGGAAACGTGATCGTATGCAGCGAACACATAGAACGTCGACAGAGCTGGTGCTTTTCCCGATATGGTACCAGGCAAGAACAAAGACGGACGTGAAGGAGTTACTTGCTGCGAGAGAAATGGACGGCCTTGGCCCCTCCCCTCGGCACATGTATGAGGATGAGGAAAAATCCCATCGGCGTTAAGGCTGCTTGCATGCCGTCCGAGAGGCAAGCCCTCTTCTCGACGGGTTGCATCTCGTTTTCGCAGTCCCATCTCGTTCACGAGTGCGTCGAAATGAAGGGAGAAATGCACCTAGAAAGTGTGCGCTTCCGAATTCGAGCTCGATATTGATAGGGTAGCAGTGGGAAAACACGGAAGGATGATGGTAAATTGCGTTCTCTCACTCCTCGATCCCCGAATCTCAGAATGAGAGATGGGTGACTCACCCAAACGAGTCGACGAGTGATGCCCGCGGGAAGAACGCGGAGTTTCACCTCGCCGGATCATTATGGATTCACTCGTCCGATGTGCTCCTGCTCGTCGCCTTCCTCCTCGCCGTTCTCTCTCTCAACCGGAAGACATTTCCGTGGACGATCGGTCTCCTCTAACGTTGGGGCTCTGCTGTTCGCCGACGTTTTCGTTGCCCTCGTCGCGGTTGGCTCCGGGGTCTCCGATGCTTTCTGCCTTGCTGCAAGTAGTCGTCGTCCCCGTCCTCGAGTAACACACGCTTTCATTAAAATGTCTCTCGTTGCGTTCTGCTAGAGATAGAGAGCTTCTACTGGGGTCTGTCTACTGAGTCAGCGTGATGGGCCTTTGGTGGCCATCGAATTTCGGCTCGTCCGGTCCATTGATCCGGAGAATAAACAACGAATTAATGGCCGACTACAGGGGGATTCGTGATTTCAGTTTTAAGGAAACTGTGACGCTGTGAGGAAACGCCGAGGGAAAATGCCTCGATGATGCCAGTTCAATTTGGTCTCGTAAGTGCATTTTCAAGGTCGTGGAGAGTTGAACATGTAGCAGACAGCAACACGAGAAAAACTTTAATTTGGGTCTCAGCGGATTGAAGGCAAACTTTTTATTAGCATATCCGAGCGTAGATGAATCGGTCGGTTCAGAAATTGAAACGCCTCCTCTTGGTTCCTTGGAACGAATCCCAGCAAGAACTTCTCAGAAATACCACGACGGAGACGTTTGTGTCAGAGTTTCCGTGATGGCAGCCTTTCCATGTGCGAGTCTTGCTGGGGAAAGACCAGGAGCGGCTTTCGCGATCGTAGATTTCGATGCTATGAGAATCCGGAGTGATTCGGAAGGCAGCCAAGGCCCAGCATCAGTCGACGTCGAGAAGGACGACCGACAGGGATCGATGGCGTTTCCGTCGCTCTCCCCATAAATCGACGTGTGATTCATTGCGCAAGCCGGGGAAGGGGAGGGGGGGGGGGGGAAAGAGGGGGGGGGGGGGGGGGGAAAGAGGGGGGGACATGGACATGGAAACTCCGTTCCGGTTTGTCTTTCTTCTTTCTACTGTAAATTTTCCTTTGCGTTATAAGACATACTGAAAGGTGCGAGTAGTATATTTATATTCGAGTATGTACTTCTCACAAATTAATTTCCTCTCACTGCCTAGTGGAACACAAAAATATGTCATACTAGAAACGTAGCCTGGTGTAATTAAGTCCCGATTAGATATGAGCCGAAGTTAAAAGAAATATTAATAGTTCAACCCTGAATAATACCTGCATTATCGATACACTTGTCCAATGCAAGGAAAAAAAGTTCAAATATTCTTCTCCCTGACTCCAATAATTGCATAACCTTGTCTCCCCCAACGAAAACAGCTCCTTTAAGACGCCGCTCGCGAGACGCGAGGAAGAGAAGAAGTTGATCTATTACAGCCTCTTTGCGTTCGGGGCCACGGCGTACGTCGTTTACTTAGTCGGAGGCAGCCTCGTCGCGGGCGTCGACATGGAAGCGGCCGACGGCGTCGACACGGAAGCGGCCGACGGCGTCGACACGGAAGCGGCCGACGGCGTCGTGGGAGTATGTCTGGAGCTTGTGAGCATCCCATCGTTTCAGTCTGACTGGACACAGGTGGGGGATTTCAGCGTATATGCTTGTGCAAATACACGGTGTTATTTCCTGAGTTGCAAACTATTTTTTCCCCTGTAAATCTCGTGTCGATAGTGAAGGTGGGAGCAGCTATTTGAAAAAAATGAGGGGAAAAATGAAACTTCAGCCTAGAAACAAGGTTCACCTCCGTTTTTCTGCCAGCATCCGAGCAGAATCATTGCTCATCAGTTTGCACTCCTCCTTTGGATTTTGCGGTTCTTTTTCGCGGGATTGAGACCGGTGACTGACCATTTTAAGAAGCGAATAATGAGATAAGAAATACTGTAAAAGCGTGAAATCTTTCAAGCATATTGCAGCCGCCTACATCCAGTTCGGTCATCCCAAAATCAGCATTCCACTGCCAGATTCTCGCACCATTCCGCGTACTTGACGTGCAACCAGTTGAAAACTCACTCGATTCTCGTGAGGCCGAGCACCCAGGAAGCAAGGCCATGTTTACCGAGAGCGTGGGAGCACTAAGCATTAAGCACTAAGCTTATGCATTCATCGTTTATGCATTCATCAACTTTTCGTAATCCCATTAAATTCCTGGGATGATTTAAAAAAAACCAGCGAGTTTGAAGCCACTCAGCTTCAGGAACCTGTTTAAAACGAACAGACGTAAATTAAGCCTCTCGAAATTCGCTGGAGCTAGGAATATTTAATATGCCAGTCGATATCACTTTGGCTTCAAAACCTGAAAATAGGCGTAAGATGACTTAATACAACGAGTACACTCTTAGAAAAGGGTGAGGGATTCCCAAGAAAGGAAGCGAAACTGGGTTTAGCGATTTTACTCCCGAAAGAGAAGGAAGTGCAGCCGCTCACCTTTCTCTTTCCTGAGAATAACCGCTAACTTTTTCTCCTAGTTTCAAAAGTATCATACTCTCCCTCCTTTGTTTCGCGCTCTTAAAAACGTTAAGGATTCTGCTCACATAAAGGAGTCGTTATCGATTGTACCTCCTCGTTTTTAGGGAGTGAAATTGCTAACTCCAATTTCGCTCCCTCTCTCGGAAACAGCTCACTCTCTTCTAAGAGTGTAAGACGCTTGAGCACGAGGCAAGGAATCCGGCGGGAGTCCCTCACACTTCTGTCGCCTTCCACCTCCGTCATCCACTTCGTCTCCCGTTTCGAGTGACGCTCGCCTTCCATCTCGCGAATGCCTGCAGATGCTGCCGGTTTTCCTTTGGTGCGCCTTTGGGTCGGCGGTCCTGCTCCTGGCGGGCGGTTTCGTCTTCTTCGGCGTCAAATGTCATGCACGTTAAGGCAACGTGATAATATGTCTCGTTCGAGAAAAATACAAGGAGCGCATCGAAAGTCTTGTCAGAGATATTATATCTCGCCAACGCGCTCGGACAGAAGCCAACTGAGATTTCTTAAAAGAAATGACCTTGAGTTTTTTTGCAAAAAGCAGAATCGCCCGGGGCGAGCATTTTCGCCGTGATGGAAATTGAAGACGAGTGAAATAAATATTGTCCATTTGGTGAAATTCCATCAGGGTGATGAAATGCGACTCAGTGATCAACTCCTTTCGGGGCATTCTGCCGCTCCCGTAACCCCGAGCACGATCGCAAGAAATGGAAAACAGGAACCTAAGACGGGAATACGACACACGTTGCCTGGGCGCAATCCAATGCCCATTTTCCGTTAGAGACAAATGTTTCGGATGATTCTGCTCTTTGCAAGAAAAAACTCAACCATAGAATTTCGTTTCACCTCGTCTTAAATAAATAGCAGCGCGCGCAGCTACCACATGGGGAGCTGGTTTCAGATAAGGAATCTGGTAGCGAATCTGTACTCGAAAAGTCATACCCTGGTCCAGTGCTATCTTGATATGAAGCAAAAGCACCGCAGAATGAAGTTGTGA